GCCTCATGTTCTAAGGCATGATGGATATCAGGAGCCGGGGCGGAGCCCTTGAGCACCCATCAGCCTCTCCATCCTTGCACTGGGTCTCTAAAGGAATAGGACAGATGTCGTCCTGGGAGAACAGGCAGCTTGATGAGACTTAGAATTCTGCAACCCTAGACCCAGTCCCCTGCCTTTTCTGCTTCATTACGCACCTCCCCGAGTGTAGGGTGCAGGTAAGCCACAAATAGGTCAAATTAGAAACAATTATGTCTTGATTTCCTGAACTTAATATAACTGGGAAAAATAAGGCAAAACTATATGTATAAAGGGGGTGGGGAATGGAGAATGACTACTAATGGCTATAGGGTTTCTGTAGGAGATGATGGAAGTCGTCTGGAATTAGATAGTGACAATGTTTACACACTTTTTCTGAAATACTAAAAAACTACGGAATTGGAGAGTTTTAAAACATTTTTAAAGAAATGAAATGTAGCCCTACCAAACTAATAAAAGTGGATTTCAGGAATCTTTTTTAAAAAACAAACATATACTCTGTGATCCTAGCCCTTTTAAAAAATGCATTTTAAAACTGGCAGCCAGTACCTGAGAGTAAACAGCTCGTATCACTGATCAAGGTTATTGTGTTATGGAAAGAACATCTTTTGGACCCAAACAGGACCAGAATTTAAGATCAGCTCAGCTAATTACTAGGTATTTTTTATTACTCTCTCAGTTGTCCTAATCTGTAAAATTGGCATAATGACTCCCACTTCAGATGGTTATGGTCCAAGAAGAATCAGCTTTATGCAAAGTGCAAAACAGTGCCTAGCACATAGTGGGTACTGAATGATAGTTAATATTTTTTATTGACGTTCTCATTCTATTAATACCATCTGTGTTTCCAATGTCTCTATAATTTCTGGGTTTTTTTAAATCAGAAAAAGGGTTATCAAAAAAATAACCCAATAGGGCCCTCCTCATCCCATGCCTATTGGTTATATTATTATGGGTCCTTTCTCCACATTTTCAATAGCTCCTTGTGTTCTCAGACCAAACACAAAATGTTCTTAGAACCAGTCAGGGCTCCTTGGTTTTGAAGGAAAGGGGCTCAAGAAGGCATAGAGAAAGGCTGCCGTGTACCTCTGCGGGTCACGCACAGATGGGGAACAGGGAGAGGCTCCAGTAAAGAGAAGTTAGCTGTATAGCTGTTTCTTTAATATCCTGCACATTGTAAAGAGACCTCAGGCCTTGGGAGTAAAGGGCTCCTTTGT